TATTGCTTTTTTTCATTATTATTGGCTTTAATTCCTCATATGCGTGCATTAAAACGTCCAACTCCGCCTCTGTGAAATATGACGCTCTCTTTTTTTCACATTGATCTTCCATTTTGACTCGTGAAATCAGCGATCCATTGAAAACGTCTTTATGTATGCACGGTGCACGCGCATTAACTCTGGGTAACCAATAGGAGGTTGATTGAACTTACTCTTCTCAGGTGTTTTGGAACCGACATACTCATGGTATGCAGGTTTGGGGTAAATCAACCCAGAGGTTATGATTTACCAAATGGTAAGTTAACCAAGCTTTCTGGAATACCCCCCCTGGTCTCCAAGTTGCAGGACATCATCATACAAATGGCCACCACCTCCAGTGACTGGAATCACACCACATGTTCTGCTGAAATCATAAACACCCCATCGACTGTGTATCCAGCTGACCTACTGGCCCTGAAGCCTTCCTCAGTCACACTGCCCCCCCTTCACTGAGCAGCCCCCAGTACTAATTCTCTGTGTCATTGTGTACTAGTCCTAAAACACACTCTCTCTGCATCTTCATCCTTTGGAATTGATATAGAAGATGTCCACGCAGTTCCCGGAGTAGGTATCCCTGTAGGTGGCGCTGTTCACTGCCTTCCAGGGCAAGCGAGACGGCCTCGTACAAGCTGAGCCCCCACCGCAGCCCACAGTCCAGCACAGAGCATCTGTCATAAAAATGAGAATTAATGGGGAAAAACAAAACCCTAACTGATCCAAATCTGTTAAACCCATGCGAATGAGTCCCACCCATCATAAAAACATGCTTCCAGCTCCTCCAGTGTCTGACCATGACACCCCCCCCACTCCATAAAGGAGTGTTTCCCGTATACATACCAGCATCTGATGCTCTGCCCTGCCATGCCCTGCATGTAGAGTCATCTGCTCAAGCTCACGGCTGAATGAAGAGGAGACGTCAGTCTTCAGCGCGGATACGGATTTGCTTTTGCATTGCGATGCTATTATGAAAAAGCAAGATGGAACGTGCAAAGATCCCATTTAGTTGTACTTGATTCCACATATACAATGACAATACAGCTATTCTATAACACGGGAAGCAGTTTAAAAATGTGTTCCATTAAGCAGCTATAGTACACAGATTAGAACTTTTCTGGTGTCCATCTCATTCTTCTATCTCAGATATCTTGAATTCTTATAGCACTGATCTTCACTGAATTTTAGATGAGGGCCACGCTTACCAGTGTACAAGGGGGCTGGGGGCCACCATTTCCTTTTTAAAAGCTGGCTAGCTGGAAGTAATCTTGGTGCTGCTTCACTTGATTGGTAGTTAATGCAGCACACATTATTGGGGACGTTGTATTGCATCTAGACTTAAACCATCATACAGAATGATTTAAAATTTTTTAAATAATAATAAATCTGATGGTCAGGATAATTTGCTTATTTTTTAATTTAGTCCTGGGCCGCCACACTGGTCTCCAGGGGCCGCCCAGTGAAGACCACTGTCTTACAGTGTTGTGGAATTTCAAAGATACGCTTGGGTCCCTCCAAAAACATAATTTCTGTCACGTGAGCCTGAAAGCCCGTCAAAATCAATCTGGCTGGAAAATGAGAGGTGAGACCCTGACTTATATTTGAGGGCCAAGCAGATTTTTCTCAATTGTCAAAGCATAACAGGATGTTACTGGTAAGACATTGTTGGTAAAACTATTACCTTTGTCTAAAAGTACATTTAAGCTTCATTTGAACTAGTGCCATGTTCGTCAGGGAGCTCATTTAGTTCAACATTTACAAACAACCCTCTTAAAATCCAGTTTTAATTTTTTAGAATTTGTTATTTTTCATTGTCAGTTGTAGGTAACTTCACAGAGCTGCTTAGTTCTACACTCAGAGCCCAGATTTGAGCCTTATAGAGAACATTTGGTCTCATATGACTAAACAGGAAATTACTCATCAGCTGCTTGAATCCATGAACACTGGGTGGAATTGGCACAAGACTTACCATTTAAGGAAATAAAAGAGAAATGCTGAGTTACATTATCTATTTAATTTGTGTTAATGTCACAAAACACTTATTTGCTGTTGAGAGGTTTAAAAGCTTAATGTTTTGTAGTTTTGGGTTTGGCCCATTTTTTGCCCAGGATTGTACATTCATAAATAACTCTCTAAAAATCAAATAGTAATTTTTATAATAACTGTCATTTTTCCTTGTCTGTTGTAGGTAACTTACATAGACAGCTTTTATTTTTATGCATAATTGTGTCGAAAGGCATAAGGGATGAAAAAATTGGGCTTTGGAGTGCAGTTTTATGTAGAAGAGTTTGTGTCTGCATGTGCTTGTGGTCTGTGGCCACAATAGAGCTGAAGATCGGAGGAAGACAAGGATGTTGTAAGTCCACGGTGTTACGTTCTACCCGCCGGAGCCTCCTGTCTCCTCCCTGACGTGGCCCTGATCAGTCACGCCTGTTTCCTGTTACTCATCGTTAGTCTGTGTATTTAAGTTCCTTTTAGAGTCGCTTGCCTCAGTATAGACATTGACGTCGCTCTTCCTGTCAGCCTGCGTCCGTCCTCATTGTAATCCTCTCGTCTTGATCTCTTGCGGTCCAGTTTATTTCCAGTCTCTGTTACTTTTAATTCAACAAAACCCCTTTTGTTTTTGTCAAAAAGCTTGTGCTGGAGTCCTTTGTCTTAATATTCGTTACGCGGGGACAATTAAGGGGAAGATGGAAGAAATGCATGAAAGTCTTGAGACCATGAAGACAATGGAGGGCAAGACGGAAGGATCACAAGAAAGTCCTGAGACCACGGTGACAATGGAGGGCAAGACGGAAGGAATGCAAGAAAGTCCTGAGACCACGAAGACAATGGAGGGCAAGACGGAAGGATCACAAGAAAGTCCTGAGACCACGGTGACAATGGAGGGCAAGACGGAAGGAATGCAAG